TGCGAGCAGCTGATGCGAGCAGCTGATGCGAGCAGCTGATGCGAGCAGCTGTTTTGCACCGGGAATCAACAGGACTCCCAAAGAGTTCAAGAACGTTCTTGTTGGGTCAACTGGATCCTTGGGGAAGACGGGAAGACACAGTCAGATGGTCAAATTGAGAGTCCAAAATCATGTTCATCAATCCCAAAATTTCTGGGACTTTTGAGCAACACCCAGCATCTTGGGGCTCATCAATGCATTTTGGCCACACATTTGCAAAGCTCTTCGTCTATCTTGGTCCATGAAATCTCCAAAGCACTTGGTGATCAAAGATTTTCATGGGTTTTGTGAGACTTCACGTCGAGCACCCTATCTGTTACAATCCCAAACAATATGTACATACAAGTATATATAGATATACACAGTATATAGAACTTGTTCAAACATGAAGAATGCAAAGCTACAGTGCTAAGGCAAACACCCATGTCCACATGTCATGTCTACAACTTAAAGAACTATGGACGTTGCAAAAACATGTCAAAACATCAAGCCACTGCCTTTTTAAGCCGCGCATCCTTCAGAACAGTGATTATTGCCTGATCTGACAACCTTCTTGATCCTCAACCCCAGGAGAGGCAGCAGACTGACAAAATATATTGCACTAGGCAAACCATAGCCATCACTCTTTCATGCGGAGAAAATGCACGAACAGTACGACTGTTTGTGTGTCGGCGGCGGACAGAACACCGGGGCCAAGTGGCCTGTGACTTTGGCGCCATACTTCTTCTGCAAATATCTGGAGGAACCCCCCACGCCACAGCCCACATCCAGCACGGTGCTCACTGAGCTCAATCCGTCCACCTTCGCCCAGCTCAGGACCTCCTGCGCAGATTAGACCCCTCAGGCCAGGCAGGGTGGGCATGATGACATGGGGCCACTGCGGACTGTGGAAACTCCCTCTAGCATCTGTGCATTTTGATATAACATACAGTAACTCTGAAATCTTCACGATGTGAACTGCTGGAAGAGTCTCATCAGAATCAATTGCACCTGTGGAGGGTGCCAAAAAACCTTCGCAGGCTACTTCTAGCGTCCCCAACAAAAGCCAAGCCACACACACAAAAGATGAACCAATGGATCGATCTTCTGATCTTCTGATCTTATTCAGAGAACATATATCATAATATCATAACAAACATATCACCAAACATCACCAAACCCACCAAGAACCTCTGCCAGGTTTTGCCAAACCTTCCGCTTGTGCACAACTCTGGCCCACGGACCCATCGCCCATCCCCACGGACCCATCTCCCACAGTATCGGCAGTCTCGTGATTTGGTGTCCCAACCAATTTCAGTCCTCAATCATTCTCACCTGAGCTTCTTGATGTTGTTTCAAGGACCTCTCCGAACCGCGGAACCGCGCGGAACCGCGCGGAACCGCGCGGAAAAGCGGACCTCCAACCGAACCGGACCGGGCGCTTCCATCCGGAAGGTGGCGGGGAAGTCCGTCCGCGTGCGGAGCGATCCGCGGAGGGAGAAAGCGGGGGTACTGTATATACATACACACGAATGTCGTGTGCGTACATATTACTGAACAAAAACTATAATTATAGTCCTGGGGCCTGTGGGGTTGCAATTCTAGAGCGGGGCCATACATTGTCATGATGCACGCCCCCATCCATGAAAACACGCCCCTATCAAAAAAACACGCCCCCATGGATTTTGGATGGTCATGTCCTTCCTCTCCACCCAGCCAGCCATCCCCGCTGCTCATGTGACCTCATTGGATCCGGCGACTCATCCAGCTGAGTGCCAAAGGTGCCAAGCTCAGATGGGGACCAATCAGATGGGATATGATTGAAATGGTCGGAGGTCTACCACTTGATCAACATAGAATTCTGGTACCCATCCCACACCTGAGACATTTTTTTGAACTCTCTCTCTTCGGCACAGCTTCCGGACAAATTTCAGAGACCCCTATCATCTGAATCCGAAGCCTGCATAGCATACATGGTACAGATCAAAGATCTTTCCATCACCCGGGTCGGCAACCACTTGGTAGCATTGACACGTCGAGATAGTCGAGCGCCCTTACCAATGAAGTCCTCCTGTTGCTGCACACAGGTGGCCAAAGGCGAAACGGTCCAAGGGGACCTAGATGATTCTTCAATCAAGCGGATCCCGTCATGGTGAACAAAATGGAGCTTGGGCATGAGCGCAAACCGGTTGAGCCTTTGTCTGTAGCAAAGGCTGGCACAAGCTGCATAGGCCTGCACAAAGCTAATCAAAAGCTGGCCAAGTTGTCCTCCAAGCCGTGCTGGGAGCCAAAACCCGTGGCTGAACATAAACGAGAAGGCCACATTGGCTGCTCTGGTGCCCCGGGCCTAGGATTGTTGAGACCCGAAATACATAGCTGAAAGCACTTATCACCCAAAAAATCAAGTAAGGCTTTAAGGACTTACACCCCCAAAATACAAACAAACCACATAGATGGACTAAGTACAACCAAAAAACGATAGCAAGCAAGACCGCATCAGCAGTCTGGCCAACAACCCAACGATCACAAAAATCCTCCAGGTACTGGCAAAAGTGTGTGGAGACAACACCCTTGGACCATTGCCCCAGAGGACATGCGGTGGACTGAGGAAAACTCATGGTTGCCCGCGAAATCTCTGAAAGATAGGGGGACAACCGACGGCGAGCGCAAAAGGCCTTGAAGTCACTGGTGAGCCATGCAAACTTGTTATCCACTGAACCCTGTAAAGGGGCAATCTGAAGCCTCTCAACGATTGACACGAAGCTGGAACCGATCCAGTGCTTCAGACACCCCAAGTGCATGTTGTGCCAAATGTCTGTTGCAAAAAACCAGCACAATGGCTTCGGTCAACAGGATAATGGCGCAGGATGATTGGTTCATTGGGCCAGGGATCCTCTGTGTGCATCGTGGGTAACCATGATGGTCGCAAAGAAAAATCTTCAACTGGAAAGGATCCTCTGTTGCCTCCATCGGACTCTTGGCCTGCAAGACACAAATGGCATATGCCCGTGGACGGTGTGCGGCTGACAGCAGCACGAGCAACATGCGAATATGTTCTCCTAAAGGAGCCCAACTTGGCCAACGCCGGCAGGTCGCCTTTGGTGGACAAGTGTAGCATGTAGACATGTTTTGTACCATCCGCGCTTGTGATCCCCTCTTCAACCAACTTCTGACAGTCATTTGCAAAAAGGGCCACGAGGATATCTAAGGCATCTGGTCGTTCATGCATGAGTTGCCGAACCATGGTGGTGAAGAGTAGATGCGTTGACCATGTGTTTCCAACATAGTTGATTCCCATTTGCAACCGGTGTAGCGGAGAGCGATGTTTCTGCTTTCGGATGTACGATGCTGTCCCCCTGCCGAGTGCCCCGTGAACTGACAACATCCAAATTGGTTTGGACTTGTAGGTCCGACCTTCGTCGGTGTGACTGTAAAATGGAATTGTCCGCCTCAAATCCAATGGTAAACGAAACACTTCATGTTGAGGGTGAAGTCCCCGGAACCGTGCCCAAAACTCACCAAGCACATCCAGCATCCTGTCCCAGCTATCGACCCCAACAAGCTGTCTCCACAGCCTGTTACTATCAAGGAGCCATTGAACCCAGGAACTGAGCTTTATGAAAGGGATGTGCCTCAAGCCTTCAACAAGCACATATTCCATCTCCACGGGGGCACACATCCCCAACTGCTTGAACAACTCATGACATCCCTTCTCTGCATCAGAGAGGGAAACACCGGCCAACAACCTCACAGCTCGACTGGCATGCGGGTTCTCTTCCAGCTCCGCCCTCGCCAAAGACACCACGTGAGAGCATGGGGCCTCAGACGCCGGGAACACTAGGGCAAAACCAGGAGGCAAAAGTGCAAGACACATCAAGAAGCAAACACTTCAAAGCTACAGAAGGTAAGAAAACAAACATTTTTTTGCCCGTAGTTCGAGTCCACGCGCAGGCGCTCAATTAGATGCAAAATGAAGCAGATACACTTCAACCTACCCAGCGGTGTTGGTCTGCCCGACCTCCAGCGACATAGACATAATATGGAGGATAGGAAACTGTGTTTGTCCTATTCAAGGCACCCTCACCACCGGAATCAGATTTGTTTTTGCAGCCTACATGCTTTGAAAACTCTGAGATCAAAGCAGCTTCAAGCATGTGAATTAAATCCAAGGAATCTGAAGCTGCAATTACCCACATGCAAGTGTACCCTCTTTCAAGGTACCAGTTAAAGCGGCACGATGGGTTGGCAGTGACTCCAATTTTGAAATACAAAGCCGGATACCCAACCACTCCCTCATAGAGGTGATTTGCGCTTTTGCGTGGGCTAAGATTTTGCCGCACGTGGGTTTTCCACGAGTCTTCAAACATTTGTTGAGTAAACCCAGCGACCGAAGTTTTTCCCAGTCAGAGTCCACGTGGATTTCATGCTCACTATCTTTCTCGGAATTGGCACCGTGGGCCTCAGCATGTTGTTGCTTGCAATGAAGGGCAAAGCAGGTGGAAGGCAAAGCATAACAGTGATCAGCACTACTTGGCCAGCGTGCGCCCAGGTGCTCTAGCTGGCTGTGGATGATGCACGGTGGCCACAGCAGTCTCATCTCTAGTGAAGTACTCCATGAGGGGATCCCAAGCATCATCGAAACAAACAGGGACCACTTCTTGGGATGTCCTCAGCACATGATCATTCCTCAGCGCATGCTTTTTGGGGGATACATGTTTTGTTCTATATAGTGCCAGGAAATCATACACCGTAAGAGCAGGCTAGCAGCTTTTGAATCTTCACAGCACCGAGTGGGCTGCCATCATCCACAGTCCGCTTGCTTGCCATGGTCCGGGTATGTCAAAAGTGTAGCGCAGAAACATTGCGAAGGTGTGCAAGTTTGACTACACTGAGCATTTTATGGCTTGGGTAAAACATATATGCAATTGTTGATTTCATAAACATGATCCCAATATAGCTGCAATAGTCGAGGCACCATTGAACATGCGCAGAGACTTCTGTACTATGATTGCTGGATTGGGCCCCCGACTCCGTAGCTGATCAGCCGAGCGCAATGGTGGATGAAGTCGCCCGGGTCTTGGTGGTTGGGATGAAGCCCATGACCTGGCATGGAACTGGAATACATTATAATTATGATACATCGTTCACATCATTCAGTGTGGAATTTCTCCATGAGGGTATCATGTGGGTCATCTGGGCCATGGCAACTACTCTGTATTTGGCATGTTTGGACATCAGGAACATCGTGTGATAACCTTTTCATACCTTTTCTGTCCACGCATCCCAACTAGAATCCCAAGAATCCCTTATGCTGACTGCGCAGCCAAAAAGGACAATTTTCTTGACCGCTGTTTGATGGACATATTGTCACGTGCTTTGCACATGCTCAACCCCTAAAGCAGGTGTAAAAAACACCTTGCCACCCCTCAACTAGTGCTAGCTCAAAGCTCCCAGTCAATCCATTGACAGCGAAGGAAACCTTGTGGTTCTCTAAACTGACGTTTGAGAAAATCACAAAATAGTATGTTTATTAGTTTATTACTGTAGGTGTATGGAGTCATCGATCGCTCACTCGTGACTGGGATCAAAATCAGGCGCTGGTCCGATCACTGGTCCTGCTGCAACATCTTCAAGACATTCCTGAGGACCGGCTGGCGTGTGGCAGGGCCCAAATCATTAAGCTTGATCGCAGAAACCCCGACATGGTCAATACGCTCGGGTAAAGTGATCAACCTATATTTGCATGCGTGTGGTTTGCAGCAGTGTAGATTGTGTAGATATGAGAGCATCAAACATCAGCACAGCGGTTTCTCTATATGGATCGACAGAAAACACACTGACTGTTGACAAAGCGTCTTCCCAGTCGACTCAGCCGTTGTAACCTTGCTGCACCTGAGCCGTTGCAAGTCATAGTTCACGGCGAACTTACTCGTTTTGACCATGTCCCTGGCTCCGGAGGACACTACTGTCACATGTTATTCTTGCAAGGAAGACGAGGCACGCCACCGTTGTTTTTTTGATTTGGGCATCAACCTTCTTCAGAAGCCTAAGTCGCCCAATCTACACTTGATCACAGCAGTCAGTCAGTTCTCAAGGTGTTGACAAAAAGAAGCATCAAAGAGTAGAAGTTACATCAGTCTCTGACCCCTGAATCTCCGCGGTGCTTGAATCCTTTGCGGTTTTCAATGGAGTGACGTCCACCTTGACTTCCTCGATATGCTCATACTGTTCCTGCAAAATGGTCACAGCCTCTTCAAGGCTCTTGACGGACCTGAGCTGGCATGATGAGCAGCGAGAACCGTGGAGGCACGAAGAAGATTCAGTGGCAGTGGAAAGGTGGTCACATGTTCTACAGGTGTGCTA